CAAATTTATTTGCTTTTTTATTTTTTGTAATTATTATATATTATTTAATTTTAATTTGATTAATTATTTATGTATTTTTTTGTTGTTTTAAGAATAGAAATTTTTAATTTAAACGTTTTCTTTTAAGTTAGAAATTATTGTGTCCATGTATGTTTTCTTAAAAAATTAGTATTTCTTTTAGGAAAGGATACATTGTTTTGTTACAGATATATTTTCTTAATACCTAAATAAGCAAACACACACAGATTTTCAAAAATATAATTTGTGCTTTATTTTCCATAATTTTGCAACAGTGTTTCGGGTCTCGCAACCTTCTTCAGGCAAAGAGTGGATATTTACACATATTATTAAATTAATATTCCTTATGTTTTTCGATGTTAAACCAGTTCAAGAAAGACATTTGTGTCTCTACCACATAAAAAAGAGAATGATTAACATCGAGAATGCTTAACATCGGAAAACATAAGGATAATTAATTCATTTTAATAATATGTGAAAATATCCGCTCTTTGCCTGAAGAAGGTCCTGAGATCCGAAACTCGTGCTTCAAAATTACGGAAAATAAAGCACAAATTATATTTTTGAAAAAAATGCACACTACAACCAAAAACGTTTGCGGTTTCTCTCTTCTTATTAATATATGTATGTGTGTGTGTGTGTGTGTGTGAGGTTAAGTCAAAAATTATACACACTTTCGTCATAAATATCTTTAGGTTTGTCACATTGCCTTCTGTTCATTCGTGTTTATAGTTGGTACTGTTGTGGTCCATTTTGAGCATGACGCGCCACATTTATTGCTGCTGTTACAGTGTAAACATGGCCAAGCCGGGATCGAAACACGACGGTTATGGTATGAAGGGATGAAGGTGAATTTAGACGTATTTATTTTTAGACAAAAACGCCAGTGACCGGAGAACACAATTCTTCTTAACGAAGAGTCCTGCATCCGCAGCAGTAATAGTCAGTTTACAAATTCACTTTTCTCCCCGAAGAGCTAAATATAAATGATTTCAGGAGCATATTAATATATATATATATATGATACGTGGCCTGACGATTGCATATAGCATGAAACAGACTGTCGCCTCTAAGTGTTGACTTCTATGTTCACTTTTATATTCACACGCTCTATCTCTGATATTGAGCACTTTATCCCATAAATATAGCACACCTTAAGACTATATTTCTTTATATTTCTTTATATATATATATATATATATATGTATGTGTGTGTGTGTGTGTGTGTGTGTGCATGCACACTTCATAACTTTTTTCCCTTCCCATTTTTGTTCTTCCCTTTCTATTCTTAGTTCTCTCTCTCTCTCTCTCACTCACTCTCTCTCTTTCTCTCTCTCTCTCTCTATCTCTCTGTCTCTGTCTCTGTCTCTCTCTCTCTCTCTCTCTCTGTCTCTCTCTCCTTATCTTTCGGTTAGTTGTATCCTCTTCACTGTCTCTGGCTCGTCTGAAATGTCATACCACGACTTTTGCCCCTTCCGTTTTTCTATTAGACGAGGTATCATGTCTGAAGAATATCCAAGACAGTGTTTTTTTGTTTATTTGTGTTTCTTTTTTAAGAAAAATATAACACGATTCAAACCACTTTCCTCTAAAATCTAAATAAGTCGATATTGTTTTTCCCATTATTTTTCTTTCAGATTACATCGTTAAAAAAACAAAAAAACAATAGAGACAGTTCTTGAATATCAGGCATCATTACAAAAAAGACGCAATGTCAATTTCCTGTGCTTTTTTACTTCTTTTTAAAGCATGAGCGAAGGTCTTTGTTGGGAAAAAATCTGTTCGAGTTACTTCCCCTGTCTATTGTAACTCTTCTACGTTCAACTATAAAAGGTGTATAAACGGCGACATGTTTTAACACAATAAACCTCCAGTAACGACCATTCAAACTCTATGTCGTTGTTTATTTCAGTCTTAAAATACGAGTTTTGTTTTCTTACGTCTAATCTGAAGATAGTCTGGAGTAGAACTATGAAGAGACATTTATATCGCTTTATACGAATTTAAGTGCTGGTGTGTGTCAAATTGAATTGTGTTGATGTTTTATATAACACAGAATAATGCCAACTTAGATAAATGGTTAAAAATAGCTTCGAGCGAAGGAAGTCTGTAAGTTTTGGCGAGCAGGAAACTTCCTCGAATCTTGTGGAATGGTGCTACAGAAACACACACACACACACGAAAAAAAAAAAAAGAATTATATCGTATAACAGAAAATGTCCGAGAAATTTTCATAGAAAATATTCGTCTTTTGACAGGATTCGAACCTACATCCTATATGGAACAGTCATTTACGCTGACGTGCCTTACCGATCGGCCACAAAAGAAGCGTTTGGTAGGCAAGGTCGAATTTACTGCTTATAAACTTCAATCTTCCATGAATCTCGTGCAGGTTCGAATCCTGTCAAAGGACGAATATTTTCTATGAAAATTTCTCGGACATTCAGGCCGATAAATGTTATTTAATACTGTTTATTATAAACAGAGCATTTACTTAAATACTTGTATCTATAAAAAAAAAAAGAAAAAAAAAGAACGTTAAACGTAAAAATGTCTTTAATAAATAAATTGTCGGACTTTGTCCATTTCTTAATATATGACGTCATTTGTTTACATTTGATACGCCAGAGCAGTTATGAATGTACGAGATTCATGGAAGATTGAAGTTTATAAGCAGTAAATTCGACCTTGCCTACCGAACGTTCCTTTGTGGCCGATCGGTAAGGCACGTCAGCGTAAATGACGGTTCTATATATATATATATATATATATATATATATATATATATATATGCGCGAATGTCAGTGTGTCACACTTTTTCAACTAGGGTCTGTAGCCCAACGTATCATACCATTTTGGAATCAGGCCGACTCCGTCAGCAAATTAAAATCATTCCGGTTTGGATCCGAGCCCGCAATCTTCAAATTTTAGATTCCTAGCTTTTCATTACTACGAATCTTGTCGACGAATTTTTCTCCTTTTTTTTTTTTTTTTTTCTGTGACAATTTATTTAGTACGATAATATTTTTTTATAACTTGGAAATACATTTCGGAATGATTGAAATGAATTGCGAAATCCAGCGAAAGTCACCCATGAAATAAAAATAATTGTTTGTACGGAAAGTAAGGACCTACGTACATCAGATTGTCTCTAAATTAGGTGGCGACAGAAGAATTATCGTTGAACTTTTAAAAGGTAAGCATAAATATTGATGCAAAACTTAAATGCAGCGATCAATTTTGTGTTCTTCCGTAGTTTTTTGTTGCCTATCGCATACGGCAGCAGTATGCCTCGCAAAAAGAATTTTCCGTCAACAGAGGAGCAGATTGCAATCAAAAGAGCCAAGACTGCACCGAGGAAAAGAAAGTCCCGAGCAATTGAAAACCAGATTAAATGGCAGTCAGGAAAGCTTCCAATGCTGAGACTATGCAAAGACTTAGAGACTCTAAAACTCCTGAATAAGACAAAGGCTAAAAGATCCCTCCGCAGGAACTAGCTCAAATGCCACCCGATAGGACAGCTTTTAAGCTAGTATATATATATATATATATATATATATATATATATATATATATATATATATATACTCGAATGGCTACAATAAATGAACATTGGAAAGTTACTTCTGACATAAAACAATTTAGTCGGAAGTCAAAAAAACTAAATAAAAAATTGAAGAGACAGACCGTATCAGTATTTTAATCAAACTTGTTTCAGGGAACTACTGCTACCTAAATACACCTTAATTATAAATATATATGTGTGTGCACGCGCGCACGTGTGTGTGTGTAAGTGTGTCTGTAAAAATTCAGATATAAATATATCTGTAAAAAGAAAATATGAATAGATCTTCTTCTGTTAGCTGTATTGAGTGCCTAAGTGTTTTTCTTTTTAATCTTATCCTCATTCATAGCAGCAGCTAACCTGCCACTGCGGAGCCTCACACTAAAATCACTTTTATGTTTTTTTAGGATTTTCATAACTCTACTGACCCTTCTCTTGACTATGCCTCATATGCCGTCTTTTCATGAAAATTTATTATTCTCCTCGACCACAGCATTTTTCCTTCCAAAAGAAAATTTCTATGACAACTCCAAGCTTCCTATTTGCATCCAGATAGTTTAGCAGTTTGTAAGAGGATTAAAGTTTGGTAAAAAAGAAGGTTATATCAGTAGATCTCGAAACTGTACATGCATACTGGTAAAAAAAAATATGCTGGGATTCTTCAACACCTGTCTATATTTCTGAGATGAGGTACTGTAACTATTTACACTATTTACATTGTTTGGACTATTGTGCTCGTCTTTATTGTTACATTCAAGACGTTTCGACGATTGTAAGTCCCGGCCTTCTTCAGGTGATATCTGTAGGAATTTCGAAGCGAACACTTTATTTAGTCCACAGGGGTGGATTGTTCTAATTCCACGTACCATGCCTTTCGATGTCTCAGGTTCAGTTAACTCTCTTTGATAAGTTTTTGTCCCCACTACCTCAAAGATTTTTGTCTCTTCGCTGATGCCAAGGATTGAACTCGCAATACTTTGGGTCAATGAACCAAACTGGGATTCTTGATTAATAGGTTAAAAATAAATTTTTTAAAATTATTAAACCTGAGCTACTTTAATATTATGGCATTACAGATTAGATGCTACATTGCAATTAAGTACCATTTTTGCTTCTAACGATATTTTCCTATATCTTAATATTTCCTTTGATTCTGGAAGGCATCTTTCGCTATACCTAAAACCGAAATCTGGTGGGAAATGCACAACTACATCTCTGTTGCAAAGGAAACCATCACCGGATTTTTTTTAAAGAAACAAAGGGAGAGAAAAAAAAACATAACTGCTATTCATGTACAATTTAATTATTTCTATTTCTACCTGTTTACCAATTCTCTTCAATACCCGATTAATCATGGTTCTCCACTATTTCCTTTCTGTTGTCATTTTCAGCTAGACTTACTCTTTTACAAACCCCTTTTACTTTGTTAACTTTATTGTTACTCCATCCATTGGTTCAAATTTGTCAAATAGTTGTCCCGCTGTTTTACCTTCTTTCTCTTGCCTAGTGTGGCGGCTTATGGCCATATCACGTTGAAATAACGGTTCCAGTACGATCACCGAAGTTATGCAACTTAGTGGGGGGTCCGTTTTCTAATACCAGGTTGAATGTGCGGATGGTGCAATGGATAAGGAATTGGAAATATTAATCGGAGAACCCAGTTCCAGTTCCATTTGGGTTCGGTATATTGACTTACACGGTGATACTCATAGGAAAAGTAGGAATCCACCCCTTCTTCCCCAATCTATGGGTTAATTAGTAAGACATATATCACTAGATCATTATTCTCTCAAAAAACTTCTTAGAATCTAAAAATATTTTCTGGTTTTAAATAAGCCGCAAAGGGTTGATAATCCATAAAAATTAATCAATTGATCAACCTATCCCCTGTTTAATTTTCCAAGCTTCTTATAGAACAGGTATTACATTTGAGCGGCTTTAATATTATTGCATGACGTCAGACTCGGATAAGGTAAGGTTTGTCTGGCGCTAGGCCACAATTACGTTTCACCTACAGTAGAGAATCGTACGAATGAATCAGTCTGCAATAGGAGATTGTTAATCATTTTGATTTAATAGACATCTAGAGATTAGATAGAAAATGCGATATAGGAGACAAGAACAAGAAAAACCGTATTTTATATTGTCTGGCAACAAGATTTAAGGGGAGGATTGTGATGAGTTCCCAAAAGAGTAATTATGTGTGAAATAAATGGTTGATAAACGATACATTCTTTTAGCTTTTATTTCTTTACTTTCGTTCGATCTTTGTATTTGAGTGCTGAGAGGTAAAGACGACACAGAGACTTTCCTGTAAACAAATTTCAAATGGAAAGTAAAGAAAGTGAAGAGAAGAAGGTGGAAGGAGGCCAACGAGTGAGAGAGAAAGAAAAAAAAGGGAGAGAACGAGTGAGAGAAAGACTAAAAGAAAAGGTGGGAGGAGGAGGAGTAATAACAAGAGCAAGAAGATGAAATAGGTTGAAGGGGGAAAGAAAAGAAAAGAAAAACAAAATAAAGAAAAGAAAAGAGTGAGCGCAAAAAAAAGAAAGAAAAGTAAAAAAAGAAGAAGAGCGAGAAGAACAGAATGAGAAGGGGTAAAAAGTCAAAAAATAGAACGAGATAGTAACGAGTTGTAAAATAAGAACAACAAAAAGAAGAAAAAGAAGAAGGAGATAGTAAGGCGATGATAAAGAAAAAAAGGAGGAAGAAGAAGAAGAAGGAGTTAGTAAGGCGATGGTAAAGAAAAAAGGAAGAAGAAGAAGAAGGAGGAGGAGTTAGTAAGGCGATGGTAAAAAAAAAAGGAAGAAGAAAAAGAAGAAGGAGTTAGTAAGGCGATGGTAAAGAAAAAAGGAAGAAGAAAAAGAAGAAGGAGTTAGTAAGGCGATGGTAAAGAAAAAAGGAAGAAGAAGAAGAAGTAGGAGATAGTAAGGCGATGGTAAAAAAAAAGAGGACGAAGAAGAAGAACGAAATAGTAAGGCGATGGTAAAGAAAAAAGGAAGAAGAAGAAGGAGGAGGAGGAGATAGTAAGGCGATGGTAAAGAAAAAGGAAGAAGAAGAAGAAGAAGAAAGAAATAATAAGGCGATGGTGAAGAAAAAAGGAAGAAGAAGAAGGAGGAGGAGGAGATAGTAAGGCGATGGTAAAGAAAAAGGAAGAAGAAGAAGAAGAAAGAAATAATAAGGCGATGGTGAAGAAAAAAGGAAAAAGAAGAAGAAGAAAGAGATAGTAAGGCGATGCTAAAGAAAAAAGGAAGAAGAAGGAGATAATAAGGCGGTAAATAAAAAAGGAAGAAGAAGAAGAAAAAGAAGAACGAAATAGTAAGGCGATGGAAAGAAAAAAGGAAGAAGAAGAACAAGGAGATAGTAAGTCGATGGTAAAGAAAAAAGAAAGATGAAGAAGAAGGAGATAATAAGGGATGGCAGAGAAAGAAGAAGAAGAAGAAGAAGAAGAAGAAGAAGAAGAAGAACGAAATAGTAAGGCGATGGTGAAGAAAATTGGAATAAGAAAAAGGAGATAGTAAGGCGATGGTAAATGAAAAAGGAAGAAGAAGAAGAAGAAGAAGGAGATAGTAAGGCGATGGTAAAGAAAAAAGGAAGAAGAAAAAGAAGAAGGAGTTAGTAAGGCGATGGTAAAGAAAAAAGGAAGAAGAAGAAGAAGATAGTAAGACGATGGTAAAGAAAAAAGGAAGAAGAAGAAGGAGGAGATAGTAAGGCGATGGTAAAGAAAAAAGGAAGAAGAAGAAGAAGATAGTAAGCCGGTGGTAAAGAAAAAAGGAAGAAGAAGAAGAAGATAGTAAGCCGGTGGTAAAGAAAAAAAAAGAAGAAGAAGAAGAAGAAGAAGAAGAAGAAGAAGAAGAAGAACGAAATAGTAAGGCGATGATAAAGAAAAAAGGAAAAAGAAGAAGGAGATAGTAAGGCGATGGTAAAGAAAAAAGGAAGAAGAGTAACTGAATCAATTAAGCTCTCAGATCCTCATACGTCGAAACCAACGGGAGAGTCCACTATTATATATATATATATATATATATATATATATATATATATATATATATATAACCACTTATATCAGTAATTCTTACAGTAATTTATAACTGATTTCTCCCTGATTCTCAAATCAATATAATGGTGAAATCGTTAATTTATTTATCTATTTAAAACTAAAAACTGCATTAAATAAAGTATGTTATAGCCGAAGAACTGGTGTATTAAATAGCACCATTGTTATTCTTTGTAAGACACTGTGTTCTTTCAAGTGTTAACAGCGTGTGGAGATTGTTAGGTAAGGACTTGCACAGGTGCAGACCTCCCTTATAGAAATCTACTCGAGAATCCAACGACAAGGTGTGACGATGAACAGCTGGTGAAGGATCACTTGCCCTGAAGAGCCAAACTTCAATGAGAGGAATGCCTTTCTGGCAATCCAAAACAGGTTTTCATTTAAATTTTTTCCTTCTCCCAAACTGAGAGTCACTTAAGAAAAAACAGCGGACCATGCGCTGCTGTTTAACCCAAAGCTGGAGGAGAATGCGTTCATGCCTTTTCTAAACTGCGAAATGAAGGAAACAAACTCGATCATTTTTCGATCTCTGCTTGCCGATTCTACTCTATCCGCAGAGCAGTCAGTTATGTATCATGCGTGATACACGCTCAGGCGATCATGTATGTTTCGATACATGACTGACGAGGCAGATTTTTTTTTACCGCAGTAGGCTGCCATTTCTTTCTGCAGTAGACCAGTTGCCATCCAAAGCTATAGAATACGGTCTGTCCCGCTATTTACCCATAGCTGGGGAAGAAGAAGATTCATACCTTTCTCAAGGGTATTATTAACATGTAAGTGAATTTAATGGTTTCGACTGGAATTCGAACTCGGCTCTCCGATTCCTCAATCCGAGCCATTATCCATTACTCCACCGTTTTATGTTTCTCGTACACTATCTTTATTTCCTTAATAAAGATAGCAAAGTCAATTTTGTAGCGAGGTCGTTTGGAGTGGGGATTTTCTTAAAATTTCGTTTGATGTAAGGCAAATATGGCGGTGATGTTAACTACTTGCTGTTAGGTTCCATTGAACTACATGTCTGGTATACTATTTGAACAGATGAATTTGTAAAATACAATAATAGCCTGGAGCCCCTTCTCTTTGTCTCAAGGTACTTGATAAAATCCAGAGACGGATATGCAATGTAATTGTCCCTGATATGGCATCTCGCCTGCAGTCGCTCTCTCACAGACGTGCCGTCGCCTCCCTGTGTCTTTTTTACAAATACTTTCATGGTAACTGCTCCGATGAGCTGCTTTCGCTGATTCCCAGACTTCATGAATTTAAGCGTTCAGCTAAGTTGGCATCTCGCTTTCACCCATACACTGTCGAAACTGTTAAATATAGCCGTCTCTTCTACTCCAATAGCTCCATGTCACGCACTTCTCTACTGTGGAACTCCCTCCCCGTTTCCTGTTTCCCTGATAGCTATAACCTCCAACTATTCAAATGTAATATCAATCGACGTCTCTAGTTACCTTGATCTATCTCCTATCCTTCTCTTCATCCTTTCCTCTATCACTCCTTTTTGCTCCAACTCTCTGTAACCCCTTGCGTGCTAGTGGCTTCCCGCCTTGCTTGGGGTGAAACTCTTAAAAAATAGTGTTGTATAACCATCTGGATAACCTACAGGGAACTTTAAACTGAACCCTTTATTTAATCTATGTGTGTAGACTAGGAACCTCCACTTTTCGATACCTACGTTTTAAAATTAATTTTTAAAAATGAAGAAGCATTCTTGAAGATTTCATTTTAGCTTTAATTGAAAGCTAAATGATTAAATTTACTATTGCCAGTAAGTAAAATATTCTGGTGTATTTTAAATAAAAATTATATTGATTAGAATATCAACTTTTCGGTCAATTTAAGAAAAATTTCTTAAAAGCGGCCATTTTGTTTATTTTAAGAAATTTGTAAACAAAACAAAATTATCGATTTAAAAATCTTCCAAAAAAAAATTATATATTTGTGACACGTTATATGAGTAAAATTAGCAAATTTAAAGTTAAATTAATCTGATTTGAAACAAAAATTTCTTACTTATAAAAAATATAGTATAGAAGCATTTATTAACAACGGGTCCTCTTTTGATCATGTCTTTATTGACGTTATCGTCGTCACCGATGAGTTACGAGGTGATGACAGCTAGTATGGATGACCAAAATTGACATAAATTTACGAAATTAAAGTTGATGCAAGTAACCAAAGGTTTATAAATACATGTCAAGTACACTATTTCAGATGAATTTTTTAAATACATAAATAGTGGTGTATATCGACCTGGATAACCTACAGGGAACTCTAAACTGAACCCTTTATTTAATCTATAAGTGTAGACTGTTCTCGTTCCACTGCTCATGTCTAAAGATATTGTCTAGTTCTATGGGACAATTGTATACTGTATTAAAAAATTGGTTTGTAAATTTGGTAACATAGTGATTATGAGTTCAATCCCTTGGTCGGGGCTTCTGTACTTGCACTCAGTGGGAACGGGCGAGCAATAATTGAGCAGCACTAAATAAGTAATAAACAATCCCTAGATATGAGAATGTGAACTGGAACAGTCTAGCCGTAGATTAAATAAAGTGTTTAGTTCGGAATTTCCGGTAGGTTAGCCAGATCGATATATACCTGAGGAAGACCGGAGGGTATATTCGCCGAAGCGTTGTTATAATAACATCAAAGATAAGCAGAACAGTCCTAATCTAATCGAAATTCCAACCACCTGGCGAAGGCCGGAGCGTACAACGGCCGAAACCGTGTGACAAATATGGCGACAAAGATGAGGACAATAGTCCGACTAATGTAAATACTGTACATAATACCTCATCTCAGAAATATAGACAGTCCTAATCTAAATAATATAAGCAGTGATAACAACTCATCCCAGAAATTCAGGCAGAATTAACAAATAAGTTTAATAATTTATAGTCATTAGTTTGAAATTAATAATAATTTGAGTTTATCTAAAATCATTATGTTATTAATAAATTAAAATTGGATTAATAAATTTAATATTTTCAAAAATATTTATTTTAATTATGATTATAAATTATTTAAATTATAATGAATTATATTTACTATCGTCAGTGTTAATTAATTTAATTATTATTTAAGATTTTATTTATTTTACTGAAATATATTGAAAAGCAAAGGAATAATATTAGTTTTTTTTATAATTGCATTTAGTGATTTAGATTTTTAATTTGGTAGATGATATTATACCGGGCAATAACCTCACAGATGAAGAGGAAACTGGAAGCAACCGAAATGTGGTTCTACAGAAGGCTGCTGAGAATACCATGGACAGAACAAGTGGGCGACATGCACGTAAGCAATGAAGAAGTTTTAAGGAAAATGAAGAAAAAGACACTTATACTCAGAATCAGAAAGAGACAGCAGAAATATTGGGGATACATAATTGGGAAAGAAGGTTGGGAGAATGTAACACTCTGTTATAGAGTGGTTTTCACAGTGGAGGCTTGTATTTAACTAAGTCGGTCATAAAAAGGTTCGACGTAAAAAGCGTTAGGAACTTGAAATAATAGTTAATGACGCAGCAATCTAGTTGTGGTAGTTGATACTTTAATGTCCGACATCGACTGACTCACCAACTCACTGAGCTCACTGGCGACTGCTACTACTACTACTTATTATATGTGGGAGAGTCTATTAACAATAGAATAGGTATGTTCCGGTATAACACACTCACAGGATATAACTAAAACACATTGGATAGGGGAAAACAGCTGGTCACCCAACTGAAGAACGGGTGAGAATTGATGTCGGAAAGGGAGGTAGAATCGATGTCAGACAAACTTTGCTAAGTGCTACAACGGATAGAAAGGTGTAGAGAGCCATGATCACCAACAACCTAAAGGGACACGGAACAAAGAAGAAGAATATTGATTGAATGATTTGTATTTTACGGCTTATCAACCCTTTGCAGGTTGATTAATTCCAGAAAATATATTTCGATTGTAAGAATTTTTGGGGAGATAATAATAATTTACTGATACAAGTCTTACTTAGTATCCGTGCTGTAACCTAGAAAAAGGTTACTAAATGAGGAATAGCCAAAACGGAGGTTGGAAATGAAATGGTAATCTTTATAACACCAACAAAATACAATACTAGCCAGCGGCGTGAAGTAGGTAAACCACAGCTAGTGGTGCACTACTTAGACAGTATATTACCTCCACTTACAATAGTGTCCAACGTATTTATGGGGATTGAGACATACTCGTTAGTGTTCATAGCTACGCTATATAACAGCCCCTCTTTTTAGATTTACTCTGCACAGAGTCAATATCTCATCCTTGTCGCCAAAATGTTGTAATCTAGAAAAGGTTACTGAATGAGGAATAGCCCAAACGGAGGTTGGAAATGAAAATGGTAATCTTTATAACATCAACAAAATACAATACTCGCCAGCGGCGTGAACTAGGTAAACAACTGCTAGTGGTGGACTACTTAGACAGCATATTACCCCCCACTTACAACAGTGTCCAACGTATTTATGAGGATTGGGACTGTTGTGGTAGGATCCACCTAATTTGCATAGTGGAGTACCGACCATATAAATATGGTTGGTACCGGGAAGAGAGTGGGAGGAATCAAGAGATTCAATCCAGAGACTATGCCCGACTGCGACTAAGTCAACCCATTCTCCAGGAACGGTCTTCCCAAGAATATACAAAAGACTATATGTAAATATTGTGTACACTTTCTTGTTTCAATACATTTTGTTCTAAGTACATTTTGTGTTGCATTATTATTCCATGCATTAGTCAAGTTTCAACAGGGACATACCCATTAGTGTTCATAGGTATGGTATATAACAAGCCTCTTTTTAGATTTACTCTGCACAGAGTCAATATCTCATTATTGTCGCCAAAATGTTGTAACCTAGAAAAGGGTTACTGAATGAGGAATAACCAAAACGGAGGTTGGAAATGAAATGGTAATCTTTATAACTTCAACAAAATACAATACTCGCCAGCGGCGTGAAATAGGTAAACCACTTCTAGTGGTGGACTACTTAGACACCATATTACCCCCCCCACACTTACAATAGTGTCCAATGTATTTATGAGGATATGGACATACCTATTAGTGTTCATATGTACGGTATATACCAATCCCATAGCGTAAGTAAATATAACGAACACAACTGGAATTGGAACACGGTTCTCCGATTTCCAGTCCCGGGTCGTTATCCATTACCTTTAAACACATTCAAACTTACATCACCTGGTATTCCTAAGCAGTCACTCATCTAGCTACAGACCAGGCACGACGTTACTTAACTTCGGTGATCGTACGAGAACCAGTGTTTCAAATGTGATACGACCGTAAGCCAAAAAGAAGGAAATCATGTTAAAAATAAAACCAAAACACTTTTAAAGTAAATGAAAGTAACATGAAAAGTAGGTTTTTATTCGCAAGTTTTTAAGGTAAATGCCGTTCATTTCGCATAGTTGAATCTGAACATTAAAAATATCGTTTGTCATCACCTGGGAGCAAACAGATGCGTAGCATATGTGAAAGAGAAGCGAAGTGACTAAAGTATTCATAAATTTTGTAAGCAGTTCAGTAGATAGAGACGTCACGCTCAATGACATTTCACGCATATGAGAACATATGACGGTATTCATTTTTTTGCGCAATATTTGTGGCCTATTAATAACATCCCCAGAGCATAATTCTAGCACACACTAATAGACTTTCACCGTTCCTATGAGCTTCGGTTGGATTGCGAGTTCGATATTCTTATACAGTCCCACCGTTCCTATGAATATCGGCTGGGATTTCAGAGAAAAAGAGTGCAAATATCGATAACTAATTATGGTGTAAATATGGTCGCAATGCACCCATGAAGCTGTCCCACATAGTCCAAGCCTGCGAACCCGTTAGCGGCCTCCGAATCAAGCACAATGATAACGTTGTCCTACATGTGTAGTAGATCCTCAAACGCGCGGTTTCAGTGTTATCCAGACTGAACACGGTGTGCGGAAGCCGGACCTCATGGCCGTGACCAACGAAGGGATCATCGTCTTTCAGATCCAACTTGACGCTGTTGTTCGACACATGAAATAGGGAAAAGATTGCCAAGTACGGTCCGCTGCAGGCACAGCTAGTCCAAACCCCATCAAAGTTTCGTTTATAACTGGAGAGGAGCTGTTTGCCCAGCAACCATACCAGGAGTGCGAGCGGCTGCACCTACTGCGTTGGAACTACTACGGGTACATCTGGATTATCCTGCACTAATGCTAACAGTATACTGGAGGACCTCGGTGGATAAGGCGACACGTCCTACGGCGTTACCGGGGAAACTGTCAGACGATACTGGGTTACCTTGGAAGCTACCTTGGTGCGTCCTGGACACCGCCCGATCGACACAGGACTAGCTTCGCTAATAATGGACAAGTAAAAGGGAAAATTCCACCTTTATCCTAATAGAAGACATCAAAAGCGCCCCACATCCTCGTGGTAGCATGTGGGCAATGGAGATCCGGGCTAACGGCCAAGTGGGCGTGGCAGCATGGGCGAGCCGGTGGCTCGGTGGTTGTGATGTACTTTGTGTAAATAGATGACGGAAGAAAGACAAAATTTTATTTACCAAATTTAAGATAAAATTTATTTTTTTACATCACCAAAAGAGTCTGCTAGAAATATTGTTCACCGGAATAATCTATAGAAAGAGAGAAAATTAACCAATATACTAAACTCAAGAAGTGAGACAGCGGAAAGCAACGCGTGACACGGACTTGAAGAAGTGGCTGGCGGAATAGGGTCGGGGAGAAATGACAAAAAAGACAAAACAAGAGCTACAAGACACAGGAAGAGGTAGAGGGCCATGATCGCCTACATCCTGAAGGGAAACGGTGTTGCAGTTTTTTGTGTATATATGTAACTCGTGAGTTAGCCGAAATGACTTGACGCGCTTTATAGTCCACCAATAGAAGGTTAACCAATCAGAAGACGTAGAACATTCAATCCGTCGTGTATAAAGGCGGCCATTTTTGTTCACTGTACCCGAATGTCCAGTCCAGCTGTCAGGCGAAGAGAACCAGAAGGACGAACTATGCTCTGCTACTTTTACCAAAATATCCACTGCTAACCTGAACAACGCTTTCCTACTGCCTTCGAAATATTCACTGCTAACCTCTGGATTCTATACTCGAAGACGACCGTCATCATGAACAACACACGGCAGATAAATGAAAAGAAACGAAAATCTATTACACTATCCGCACATTCAAGCTTACAGCACCTGGTATTCCCAATCGCTCACCCATCTAGGTACTTACCAGGTTCAACGTTGCTTAACTTTGGTGATCGTACGGGAACCGGTGTTTCAACGTGCTATGGTTATAAGCCTATTTAAACTCCGCCTTATCACCTAAGCATGGTTTTATGAACTCCAAAATTGGCAACGTTTATTTATTACTGGCTAAAGGAGTTAAATAAGAAACATTTTTTTTCTTTTTATTATACTATTATTTGTATTCCCTCACTCCATTATGTTATTTCTTTGTTGCAGATATTTTTTTTAAATTAGAGGGTAGCCATTGTAATGAACAGAGTGCCCTCATGGCTATCAGTCTTGTCTCTTGAATTAATTGGTGTTACTTAGTCAAGTGGAAAGAAATCAAGTTGTTTTCCAAAAGCACTAACGTCATAGCCATGCCTACTTATGGGCAGAAGTGGAAAACATTATCTGAAGCCTGAATTTTCCGGTCATTTTTTTTTTAAACATCAAGTTCTCTTTTCTCTTGCAATAACAGCGATTTAATACCATGCTTGCCAATTGGCTGACTTTTTGGTGCTATTAGCTCAATGCGGATCAACCCAGATGCACTGTAGTAACAATCTAGCTTATTAACCATTACTTAGACGAAATTTAGCTTAGTCTGGCTCAAAGCCAAAACAGTAGGTCGCACATGAGAATCAAACTCTCTACACCATCAAACCAGTTCGAAAGTCGAGCTTGTTGACCATCTCATAGACATATATGTGTTCAGGTTTATCGCTCTCTATGTACTGCAAATAATGAACATTACAGAGATGAATGATAACAGACACGAAGTCTGTAAGTACACTGAGGAAAATTTAAAACTTCTTAGTCAAAATTAAACTAATAGTGGTTAAAAAATTTATCGTGGTGATCAGTTAATGGGAGTTAATAACATCACATCATGTCGGCGAAGTCACCAGATAATGGGTGTGCTATAGGAAAAATGTTTATTCCCCCAGTTCGTATTATTATATATATCATTGATATAATAACACTTTATTTCTTGGACGGAACGGAATAGCTGAAAGAAAAGACATGGTAAACGTACTCTGTTCTCAAAGAGAGTTTTATACCAATAAGACATACAGAAAATTATATACGCATATTTACATGTAAAGAAACTATAACACATGTTTACAAAACAAACAGTGTGAAAATGATACAAAAATTTTAATGATTTTATAAAGTTAACATCACTGTGGATTGGTTGCTCCATGCTGTGAAACTACTTATAGGTGTCGTTCCGTCCATTGATTTTATGAACTGACGACACAGTATCCAGTTTCACTTTCCAAATGACATAGTATCCAGAATAACACTCCAAACAACACCGTGTCCAGTATAATATACCAAACGACACAGTATCCTGAATAACATTTCAAACGACACTGTATCTAGTATAACATTTCAAACGGCACAGTATCCAGAATAAAATTCCAATCGACACCGTGTCCAGAATAACATTCCAAACGACACTGTATCCAGTATAACATTTCAAACGACACAGTATCCAGTATAACATTTCAAGCGACACAGTATCCAGAATGAAATTCCAATCGACATCGTATCCATTATAACATTCCAAACGATACAGTATCCAGAATAACATTCCAAATGACACAGTGTCCAGTATATCATTCTAAACGACACAGTATCCAGAATTCCAAGCGACAGAGTCCAGAATAACGTTCCAAACATAATCTTTATTAGGTAGATATTGTTCGTCAATTTAATCCTTCCTCTTCAGAATGCTCCTAAAGTTTTCCGTCGGGTGTAGGTCGAACGAACAAGCCGGTGAATTCATCAAACCTATTTTATTAAGATGTTAATTTTTCACGCGGAAAACAAGCATAAAAACTATATTCTTTCAGAAGGTTTTCGGTATCTTCTTGAACTATGGTTCTACGTGTGCCTTCAAAGATCATCTTAAAACCACTTGAAAATCATCGCGAACTCATTATCCCACAACAGATAATCCAACCACATTCGCCTTGTTGATACCTCAACTAAGTAAGGTATATTTCCGACAGTAGCAACCCAATATTTGCTGCATCTCCTTGAGTAATATGTTTCTCAAGGACAAGTAGAGTAAAAAGATTCGGTGTACATTTATTTTGTTGCCGATTTTCTTCGATTTTCCTGGTGAATGTATAATGATCACTCGTGAATCTCTATCTATAAAAGGCAGGATGTGTGTGTGTGTGTGTGTGTGTGTGTGTGTGTGTGTGTGTTCGTGTGTGTGTGTGTGTGTGTGTGTGTGTGTTCGTGCGTGTGTGTGTGTGTGTGTTCGTGCGTGTGTGTGTGTGTGTGTGTTCGTGCGTGTGTGTGTTCGTGCGTGTGTGTGTGTTCGTGCGTGTGTGCGTGTGTGTGTGTGTGTGTTCGTGCGTGTGTGTGTGTGTGTTCGTGCGTGTGTGTGTTCGTGCGAGTGTGTGTGTGTGTGTGTGTGTGTTCGTGCGTGTGTGTGTGTGTGTGTTCGTGTGTGTGTGTGTGTGTGTGTGTGTAACAAATGCACGGCTGCAATTTTCGACAGATTTGCACCAAATTTTACATGCACATGTTCCAAGTTAGCAGGAAGGCCAAGACCGACTTTTCCTTTTCTAACTCCCATCGATCGATAGTGGAAATAATCGATTTTTTCATGCTTCTCCGGCAGTTTTCATGTAGTTTTCGGCCATTTTCTACTGGCCAGAGTGAGAGCCTATAGCTGGCTGCCACGAATGGGCAGGAAGATTCTATTGGCCAGCGTGAGAGCCAACAGCTGACTGACACGAATGTTAACTAGCATGCTAACATGCAAAAAAATCGGTAGCTGCATTCGTCACAAGTGGGAAAAATTTAAATCTGCATGGCACTTTACTCCAATTGGCTCATTCGCTTGCTTAAACTCAACGTTGATTCTGATTCCACAGAACTGGGTTGGGTGTGAAAAAGTATTTGTTGTTAACATTCTTTTTTCATTCGTTTTTTTTTCCAGTTACGAGTCCTTTTTTAAAGCTGATCGTTTTGTGTTCATTTTGTTTTGTTCTTTTTTCGTAACAGATTTAATGTTTAGTATGGAGCTTAGACAAAATTCGCAGTGTGAGATAGGCAAGAAGTAAGGCATGTAGCAACATCAGCACGGAAAAGGGCACTCCCTTTAAAGGCAAGGAAGGGCAAAAATATTTAAAGTCAAGTGATAGCGATTGCTGTATGAGTCGTACGAGTTTTGAATCAAGCACGGGCAACGCCGGGCTATGCCACTAGTAAAATTATTAAACAGTCGATTTAGGAACCGGTATCTCACGTTGTTTGAGACTTCATCGCTATTACTATGCCTAAAATTTTCATAGCTTGAAAAATGGGTTGTTTATCCCTCCTCCTGATACGAGACATTCGTGTTGTCAAGGATATCTAACAGACTATTTCACGGTTCACCGATACCTACCGATCGTGCTTACAATTTACAGCGTTCGTTAACCTTTTCCAAGCTCTGGAATGGTTATCAATTTAAATTTTCATTCGTTCAAACTAGCAAGTCTATCAAAATAAAACTGTCAGCTGCTGTAGAAAAGAACCTCCAATCAGTGGTTAACTGGGACAAGGAGCGGCTTTTAAATTTTAACACCACCAAAACAAAACTGCACAGAGAAGCGTTCTTACCTTCAGTCAGCATGCATGATGCTAACCTCGAGAAGAGCAGCATTCTGCGCCTTCTTGGACACACTTTTTTTTCCACTGACATGAAGTGGAGTGATTATATTGAATCTATTGCTACATCTGCTGCTAGGAAATAGGGTTCACTCTGACGTGCCAGACAGTTTTTTTTTCACGTCAGAATCCATCTACCATTCTTCCGTCTGTTGAATATTGTGGTCATGTTTGGTCTGATGCCATGGCTATGTACCTCGAGAGTCTTGACAAAATCCAAAGAAAGGTATGTAATGTAATTAATCCTGACCAAGGCATCTCAACATCAGTCAATTTCCCACCGTAGTGACGTAGCTTCCCTCTGTTTTTCTGCAAATATTTCCATGACAATTGTTCTGATGAGCTTTCCTCCTTGGTGCCTCGACTAGGTGAATCGAAGCGTGCTACTCGATTGGCAACTAGGTCTCATCGTTTTAATATTGAATTAGCTTGTAGGCGGGTGTACTCGGAAATAAGAGGCCGGCTATTATAACAAGCTGAGTAAATATCTTTATGCTTCAACTAATATTCATCAATCTCGATCAGTGCTTCTCAACCTTTTTCAGTCCATGGACCATTTTTTCTTCCAAAAATTCAAATGGACCACTCCTAATTTTACTTCCTACTTTGAAATAAATATAGCATTTCATGTAATTTCTAAAGTTTCAAATATTATGGACATGTGTGTAATTAAACAAAATATGATATTTTTTTCATTCTTCAAACTATGAAATATTTAGATACATTTTTATGAAATAACTATAATTTTTTATGCCTAAGAATTCTCTGTGAATCACTAGAAATGCTTATGTGGACCACCGGGGGTCCACGTGGACCACACTGAGAATCTCTGATCTAGATTGACAGACTGTATTACTGTAATGGGTTATCCTCTCATTGGAAGCACTATATTTACGGCCTTGTACCAGTCAAAATTAAGTAAAATTCAAAATTAAGTAAAATTGCCATACGATTATTTGATGAGGATGTCTCGTTGGAGTAGTGGTTAACAAGCAAGCTTCGCAAAGTATTTCTATTGTGTAGCAAGTTTGATTTTCATTCTGATGCTCCATACCTATAGCCTTGTGCCGGACTTATCTAAGCTTATTTCTATAAATTGACTTCCTATCGTTTAATGAGGATGCGGCGTTGGAGTAATGGTTAACAAGCTCGCTCTGTAAATCACAACGATTGTCTAGTTAGTTCGATTTTCATTCCGATGCTTCATAACTACAGCCTTGTACCAAACTTAAGTAAGTAAATCTCAATAGAGATTGTTGGAGTAATGGCCAAAAAACTGACTCCTTAAATCCTTACTATTTTGTAATTTCTTAGATTCTTACTGGATACTCCATACTTAAGGCCTTGTGCCTAATATAAGCTCGGTGAATAGCAACCATTTTTAATATAAG